ATTAGGCCCCGTATTATAATGGGGACCCAAAAAGGGACCATAATTTTGACAATCCCCCATAGGGTTTATGGTTCCTTTGCAAAAGGGCCATTGGACAAAAGGCACCTGCAGGGTCGAAGAAACTCACTTGTCGCCTGTTTCTGCCATGGCTTGGACCAGAAACGACGCGGACAAGCTGGCAATAAATCGAACGCCTATCCCAAGTACTCCTGAAATTGAAGCCCTAGGTGCCTTTAAAACAGGTCATAGGCATGCACAGAGTTTAGGGATTAAGGCATGATGGAAAATCAGTTGGAAAAGAGAACGTATAATGAGGTGGATGCTGGAAGTTGTAGGGTTCATAGGGTTGCCATTAAAAAGACCTATCATGAGGCTGGGGAGGTCTGAGAGCTCACAATCGTGAGGTACATTAGGCTTAATTTGTCTGGAAAATTCACAGGAGTAGAATGGGAATGGGCCTGGTTTTGTTCAGGTTTCATGTAACTTCTAGTTGAGCATCCATGCTCATTTTCTTTAGCTGCTGTGGCAGGGTAATGAGATAATGATTGCATGAAGAAGGAGACGTTTTTCTCATAGGTCTCTTCGTGTTATGGATCCGCAGTTTTTGGAATTTCCCAAGACTGTAATAAGTGTTGTAGTTATGGTGGGGTTCATGATAGGGATTGCTGTGCTGGGCCAAGAAGTGTTCACCAGACGTCAAAGACAGGGTTTAGGGTTTAAGGTTTCGGGCTTAGGGTTTAGGGTGTAGGGCTTACTGTTTAGGGCCACGGTGAAGACATTATCAAATTTGTGCGTGTTCTTGCGTGTGCGCCTATTTGAGATGATGCGATGTTTCCCTGGACCCTGAAGAACCCTTCCTTCTAAGGACATATACCACCACCCTAGAGGGACATAACCCTAAACCCTAAATCAAAAAAGGTGGGTTCCATAGAGTCCAGGTCTTCCCGAACCCTAAACCTAAACCCTAGACCTTTTGCAGGAGCTTTAAACCGCGGCTGGCTGTTTGGTCCCCGTGGCTCAGTGCCATTTCTTCCCTGACTCCGCGGCGCAACGTAGCCGCGGGAGGGAGAGCCATGGCGGTTCCAGGGCTGAACCTGACGGGCCTGCTGCCAGATGAGAGGTGCCTTGGGGTTTAGAAGTTAGGATTGGGGTTTAGGGTTTGGGGTTTAGGGTATAGCACTGAGGCTTGAGGGCCTAGGGTGGGGTGGTCACGGTGGTGGGGGTGGTGGGGGTGGTGGTCGAGGATAGCATTTCTAGCAGCACCAGCACACGGCAGTTTGCATCGTAGCGTGGTACCTTCTGTGTTTTGTTTGTTTTCTTTCTTTGGTGCGGGGGGAAGTGTAGGTTTCGAAGCATACAGCTTAAGGTCATTGGCGGACACCCTTGACAGGCACTCTGAATTCTATTTGGAGGGTCAGGGAGACTTGCCAAGTATAGTAGACAGGGGTTATTGTGGAGCGTACATAGTATAGCGCTTTTTTTGTATACTGCACTTACGAAAGCCCCCCGACCCTCCACGTAATCGCTTGTTACAGCCATTTATGTAGGCTATATATCACCACAATCCAGCGCAAGCAAGTGGAGTGGCTCGAGTCGAAGAACATGAGCCTGAGCACGGGACAAGCAAATCTTCTTGGTTGCCCGAACATGGAGACCTTGAGAAGGGTGGCCATCAGGCACGGGGATCCGGTTGCTGGGCTCGACCAAGCGGGTGAAGCTTCCAGTGTGAAGAATGTGGCGTATGGGGCTTGGCAGGCTCACAGTCTACAGGCACAGGGCTTAGCACATGCAAGCTACGTCTGGGAGCTGTCTGACGAAGATGACCACAGGCAGCTTCACCTGGAAGCGAAGGGTTCACAGATGTGAAAGGTTTTTGCTGAGTGAACTGTAAGGAAAAGGGTTTTTGGATACAGCAGCCAGAAGATTCCGGTTGCCCGAGCCTTGCCAAGCCGTCCAACCTCCTGGATTGACAAAGAAAGGTCCTACCAAAAGCACCTAAGATGTGCAGCGTTTAGGGTTTAGGGTTTAGGGGTTAGGCTCTAAGACCTGAACCCCAATTCCCAGATGGATAGCGGAGATGATGGTTGATGCTGCGGATGAGTGCAAAGCCGTACGCGGACATCATCGAGCAGATGTTATGTGCCTTGTCGGACATTCTCCAAATCTGCATAAATTTTTCATAGTAATGATAGCAATAGCAGGAAGAATAGTAATAATAGTACTACTAGTAATACTAGTGATAAAAATAATGTTAGTAATCATAGTACTACTAGTACCGAAAGGAGAGTCTGCCATTGACTATCCCTTGTTCTGGAAAAGGGATGAGTACATTGAGCACGTTGGGCTAGAACGTGAGGGACCTGACATGTTATCAAAACATTAAAGCAGCAATGCCCGAGATTTTTTATGTTAACTCTTAACCCTAATCGGGCAGAGCTTGGGAATGTCCACTTCGGCCCAACTTTCCTTTTCCACTGCAGTTCTTAATGTTTCCAAGGATTCGCGTTTTGCTAGCACGGAACCAAGGAATAGGATTTACAGAAGGGATGGCAATCAGGGTTTAGGGTTCAGGGTTCCGGGGCCGTTATAGGGGTACATTGCTTTTGCCTGCTGACCAAAATAATCCATACTCAGGACCTGCAGTATCCCTCCGCAATCCCCATATGGTAGTTTCCTTAAAAAGGGAGACCCCAATATAAACCCTAAAATGATCTAATCCTTTTTTTTCTGGGACCCCCCAAAAAGGTACCCCTAATTTGGGGAAATCCCCATATAATCCCCAGGGTTCCTTTTGAGCTCAGAGGTGTATGATTAAGGAGAGGAGAGTTTGTGTCGGCTTTCAGTGAGGCCTAGAGCTAACGGCTCAGTGGCAGATAGCTGACAGCTATCCGGGGTTCCAAAAAGAGGGGCCTCTTTCTTAGGGGATGCAGAAGTTTTATATGGGGAGATGCAGGGGTATAGGACGGTAGAGGGTTCAGGCTTAAAAAAAATTTGAGGCCCCTTCGGGAGTCCTGACAACCAGGAGTATTTGGTCTGGGGTAAACATTTTGGCCCCCCAATTGGTGAACTTGTTCTACTAGTCTCCAAAAATTCTCCAGGTTTAGGGTAATGTAGGGCTTTTGGTATCAAGCATGGGATAGGGCTTGAGACATTTTAGTTTTCATTGTATAGGAGTTTGAAGGGACAACGTTCCCAAACAATCAGGCCTAGGCATAAAGCCCTGAACTAAGAGCTGTCACGAAAACTGCGCAGGAAATAACCCAAATACCCTGAACTCAGAACTCTAAACCCAGCTTCCTCAGCCCATCAGCCCACATATGCCAAAGAAAACCTTCCCCAGAAGTAAATCCTAAGCACTCAATCCCAAACCTTAAGCCGACAACCTAAGCCAACCTTAGGCACGAAGCCCTCGGAATGACTAAACCTTAGCCCCACACCCTAAATTGGGTTGCTGTTAAGGAATGGAAATCAAATTACATAATGCGGAAACTTCTTTATTTATTGTAGAACCAGATAATTTCATTCAAGTTCCTCAACGGTAACTCAGTAAACTGCCCATTCTTTGCCTGACAGTTTCGTTCTCACCTGCGCCGCTCGAATCGTCCAGATGCAAAGTGGTTTCGCGATGCTCGAGCTTTCAGTCTGCAACAGCTGCTAATAGTAGCAATACCAGTAACAGTAATACAGGTAATAATAGTAATAAAAGAGTAGGAGTAATAATAGTACTGGTAGCAAGAATAGTAGTCATGGATATGAGTATAGTTATGAAAGCCAGATATTCCCAAGCTGTCTATGTATTCTAGAGGTGTCGGGTCATTCGCAGTAAGGGTTACGGATTCCGGTTTTAGGTTTTTGAAAGTTATGTTCTCTTCTTTCAAGATCTGAGCTTTGCTGGTATATATGGGGACCTCCAGTTTGACAAATATCCAGTACAAATGGTTTAGGGTTTAGGGAATCAGATTCCGGACTATATCTGTCTTGGTGTCAGGGAAAATGCTGACCATAATACTCCAGCATAGGCTATGGCTTTATAGTCTCAACTGGCATTCTAGTTGTCGTGTTTTTCTAGGCTTAACAAGATTCATACGCAATTTTGATCCGAATAGTTGTTGCTCCTGAATCTCCAGTACTGTCACTCTTCAAAGTAGATCTAGTACTGTTACTGTGAGAGTTACTGTTATTGTTGTTTTTATTATTAGTATTCGCATTGTTGTGATTCCTCCTACTAGTGCTACTGCCTTCTCCTCTTTCTTCTACTACTGCTGCTACTACTACTTGTTATTACTACTACTGCTGCTACTGCTACTACCACCACCA